AGGAGGCCTCACGCCCAGACATCAGCTGCCGGGTTGTATCGGGGAGCCCCCTGCTGTGTGGGGTGTGCTTCTTCTTGCTCTGACCTGCTCTGACTTTGTCATTGTTGAAAATTTATTTATGTATTTGAAAGGCAGAGTTACAGGGAGGGAGGGAGGGAGGGAGGGGGAGGAGAGAGAGAGAGAGAGAGAGAGAGAGAGAAAGGGAGGGAGGGAGGAGGGAGGGAGGGAGGGAGAGGTCTTCCATCCCCTGGTTCACTCCCCAAATGGCTGCAATGGCCTGGACCAGTCCTGGCCCAGAGCCCAGAGCTCCATCTGGGTCTCCCATGTGGGTTAAGAGGCCCAAGGCCTTGGGCCATCTTCTGCTGCTTTCCCAGGTGCTTTAGCAGGAGCTGGATCAGAAGTGGGGCAGCCGAGACCCCAGGAAGTGCTCCTAGGGGATGCCGGTGTTGTAAGCAGAGGCTTAACCCACTGGGCCACAGTGCTGGCTCCTTGCTCTGACTTCTTGACGATCGTTTAAGACATCACCTGATTAGCTCTGGCCCACCCGGGACAGCCTCCTCTTTGAGCTGAGCCAGCTCCCTGCTAAGGCGCCTGGGAAGGCAGCGGAAGATGGCCCAAGTATGTAGGGCCCTGCACCCACATGGGAGACCCGGATGGAGTTCTGGGCTCAAGTCGGCTGTAGCTGAATCACAGGACAGACCCACATTCTTACAGACATGGCCCATAGCCAGGGAAGGGTTTTTCACCAAGTGTGGTGGGTGTGCAGCCCCACAATCCCACCCCTGGCTAAGTACCCTAGAGGGAGGGTGAACAAATGCGTGCGTGACTGTCCACAGCAGCTTGGGCCCTGCACCCACATGGGAGCCTGGAGAGAGCTCTGGGCTCCTGGCCTCTTCCTGGGCTAGTCCCAGCCATTGTGGCCATCTGGGGAATAAAACAAGATAGGGCCGGTGCCGCAGCTCACTAGGATAATCCTCTGCCTGCGGCACTGGCACCCTGGGTTCTAGTCCTGGTTGAGGCGCCGGATTCTGTCCCGGTTGCCCCTCTTCCAGTCCAGCTCTCTGCTGGGGCCTGGGAGTGCAGTGGAAGATGGCCTAAGTCTTGGGCCCTGTACCCCATGGGAGACCAGGATAAGTACCTGGCTCCTGGCTTCGGATCAGCGCGGTGCGCCGGCCACAGCTGCCATTGGGGGGTGAACCAACGGCAAAGGAAGACCTTTCTCTCTGTCTCCCTCTCTCACTGTCCACTCTGCCTGTCCAAAAAAAAAAAAAAAATCAGAAGATGGAATATTCCCTCCACCCCCCATCACTCTCCCTTTCAAATAAATAAATCTTTAAAACAAAGTCATGGGGGCCAGCGCTGTGGTGCAGCGTGTTAAAGCCCCATCCTGTGGTGCCAACATCCCATATGGACACTGGTTCGAGTCCTGGCTGCTCCCCTTCTGATCCAGCTCCCTGCTAATGTGCCTGGGAAAGCAGTGGAAGATGGCACAAGTGCTTGGGCCCCCACACCCATGTGGGAGACCCAGAGAAGCTCCTGGCTTCAGATTGGCACAGCTTCAGCCACTGTGGCCACTTGGGGAGTGAACCAGCAGGTGGAAGATCTCTCTCTCTCTCTCTCTCTCTCTCTCTCTCTCTCTCTCTAACTCTGCCTCTCAAATAAGTAAAACAAGACCATGCAGTCATCCTGTATCACTTCTCAGCACAAAACTAACCAAGAGGAGTGAGAATGCTGAGATGAGGAGGAAGCGGAGGAAGCCGTGAGGTGCACAGGAGCCACGTTACCTATCCTAGAGGAGTCTGGACAACGGACGATGTTGACGCATCCAGAAGGGGTCATAATTTAGGGAAGGCAAGGAAGACGAAAAACAGCAGAAAACTCAAAAAGGCTTTTCCAATAAGGAACAGGCAGGAATGTTTTTTATTATTACTGCTTGTTTACCATTTGATTGTTATATGATTCTATACTGACCCGATTAAGAAGTACATTTCAGGAGCTGGCACTGAGGTGCCGTGGGCTAAGCTGTCCCTTCTAACGCCAGCAGCCCATGTGGGCACCGGTTCAAGTCCTGGCTGCTCTGCTTCCGATCCGGCTGCCAGCTAATATGCCTGGGAAGGCAGCAGGTGACGGCCGAGTGCCTGGGCCCCTGCAGCCACGTGGGAGACCCGGATGGACTTCCGAGCTGCAGGCTTCATCCTGTGCAGCCTTTCAGGGAGCCGGCAGATGGAGGCTCGCTCTCTCTCAACTTATATATAAATAAGTCTGAAAGCAGAATACATTTTGATTTACAATAAAAGAAAAGTAGGTTCCCACAGTTCCTCATTAGCTTCCTTAAAATTACTTATTGGTTGATTGGACAAGCAGAGAGGGAGAGACAGAGACAGCTCCTGCCTGCTGGTTCTCTTCCCAGCGCCCAGGCCAGGGTGGAAGCTAGGAGCTGGGGGTGTCTCCCAGGAGCAGTGCTGCAGGAAGCTGCAGTCAGAAGCCAGAGCTGGGACTCAAATGTGGGCACAACTATCTTTTTTTTAAGCTTTATTTATTTATTTGAAAGCTGGAGTTACAGACACACACAGATCGGGGCGGGGGCACTTCCATCGACGGCCACAGTGGCCGGGGCTGGGCCAGGCCAAAGCCAGAAGCCAGGAGCTGCTTCCAGGTCTCCCTCGGGGGTGCAGGGACCCAAGGGCTTCAGCCGTCAGCTGCTGCCTCCAGGATGCATTAGCAGGGAGCTGGATGGGAAGTGGAGCAGCCGGGACAGGAACTGCTGCCCCTGTGTGCTGTGCCGGTGTCACAGACAGTGGCTTTACCCGTCATGCCACAGCCCCGGCCCCAGGGGCACAGCATCTTAACCAGCAGGCTAAATGCCAGCTCCGGATTCGCCTGCCCTAACGGCTCTGGGCCAGGGGACACTGGGTGATGTCTGGAGACTCCTTGTCCCTGCTGAGGGGCACAGAAAGCAGCCTGCAGGCAGGCGCCCCCCAACAGCGCCATCCAGCGGCTGCAGCCGCTGGGGCCCGGGGCTCTGAGCCCCCAGCACCACTCCCAGGCTGTGCTGTGTGTTTACCTCTCTGCCTCAGTCTTCACATCTTGAAAATGGGGGTGGGGGCTGAAAGCAGTGCCTACTTCCTGTGTTAATTGTGCGTCTCGCTGGGGCTAGCTAGAGAACCCATGCATTGTGGGGATGAACAATGCGGAAGGGAAGGGGACACAGGCCGACCCCGGGAGGGAGGCAGCGTCCACCGAGTGCCCTGGCTCTGAGCGTCCAGCTGCTGCTGCCCGCGATCCACCCTCCAGAGCCTCATCCCTAAGCAGCTCCCTCATCCCAAATCCTGATTTTGGTGCCCTGCGTGATCTTGGGGCCTCAGTCTGTTCATCTCTCAGATGGGCGCATGGAAGCTGGCGCTGGAGGAGCCCGTGAGAGTCCTAGGAGGCAGCGGGGAGTGCGTGGGTCCCAGTCCCAGGCAGCGCACGCGGGGCTGGATCTCAGCTTTTTATAGCATGTGCGTGAGGACAGCGTCCTGAGGAGCTGCGTGCCTGGGGCTGTGTGCAGAGATCTTTGTCTCACCAACCGGCTCATCCCGTTGTCCCTTTATAACCAGGAACCACTGAGTGTTGCAGACAGGAAGTGCTCTGCCCAAGGTCACCCTGTTGCCAAACTTTGTGCCTCTCCTCTGTCCGGCCCCCTGCTTGCTGGCCGCTTCTGAGATGGGAAGATCTGTTCTTCGCAAAACTGTTGCACAGCCTCCCTCCGCCCCAGGCAGGTCCCTGCCTCCTGCTGTCCCCGCAGCGCCAGCCCGGCTTGGAGGAACCACTCTTTCCCTTTCTCCCCGCTCGGGCTGGAGCTTGGGGTTGGCCGGGGGCAAGAAGCAAACAACACAGCCGCTGAAGCCCAGAGGCCCAGCGCCCTGGTGCATTTAATACAGTTTTATTCCGGGGGGCGGGGGTGGAGGAGCCACATCTCTGCCCTTTGTGACTCAGGGTGGGGGCAGAGAGAGGACCCCAGGAAGGAGCACTGTCCCTTGGGTTTCAGAACTCTGGGGCGCATTCCTGGGGTCATTTCAAAAGGCCCTCCCCTCATTTCCGGCCGCGGCTGTCAGCCTTGGCTGGGCGCCTGGATCCTGTTGCCATGACGACAGGAAGAGGCGGTGGCGGCGGCAAGCGATGCTGAAGAGAGATGGAGGCTGGTGGGGGAGGGGGCAGGGGCCGGGGATGCGGGTGGGGGAGGGGGCAGGGGCACCCTTTGTCTCCGACCTCCTCAGTGTGTCCGAGCCTGGCCCCTCTCCGCCCCCCCGGCCCCCTCTGGGTGCCTGCTCGGTCAGTCGCGGGGTCTCAGGGTCTCCGGCTCCCAGCCCCATCTCTCTCCATCTGCCTCTCTCTTGGGGTCTCTCTCCCTCCTTCTCCTTTCGGTCTCCAGGGGCCTTGTGCCACCCAGACCCTGCTCCCCTGAGCTGCGCTCGCGGTTTCCTGCCTCGGCCTCCCTGTCTCTCCCGCTCTCTCAGGACCCTCTCTCTGCTGTGCTCACGCCCCTCCCCAATTCCCGCCCCTCCCTCCCTCCCTGGCGCTGCTGTCTCCCTCCTGGTCTCTCTCGCTCTCGCTCTGTCTCTCCCCATCTGTCTCTCCTCCCCCCTCTCCGATGACTCTCTCCCTCGCTCCTCTTCCCTTCTGTTACCCAGATCCTGACCCCCCCATCCTCCCCCTCCCCCCGGCCCTCCCCGGCCCCACCACTGCCCGGGGGTCCCCTGGCTTCTCTCTTTGGGCTCCTGTCTCGGCCCCCTTCTCTCTCTCTGTCTGGATATTTCTCTCTGGGTGTCTCTCCAACTTCCTTCTACCAGCCGCTGCCTCCCCCAAATTCCTGCCTCCCCCAGTCTCTGGGTCTCTCCCTCTCCGCGTCTCTCTCCATCTCTCCCCTCCCTCTCCAGATCCCTCCTCCCCCAGCCCCCCCTGCCACCCAGCCCCTGCCCCCCCAGTCGCTCCCTTCCCCCACCCCTCTCCTGCCGGTGGCTCCCCCATCCCTCAGCGGCTCCCCTCCCCCTCCCTCCTCCCTCCCTCCCTCGTCCTCCAGCGCCGCACTTTGCCCAGCGACACGAGAACCAAATTGTCTCCTCACCTTTTTTTTTTTGCATCCCGACCCTCACTCCCTGGGGGCCCCCGGCACAGTGCTGCCCCAGCCCCCCCACCTCCACATCCCCGATCCCCGCACGCCGCCTCCTCTCCCCCCCCAGCCAGGTCGGTCGCCTGGGTCCCTCACGCTGGGGGAGGGGGAAGCAGCGAGAATTGGGAGCCATAGGGGTTTTTCTGGGGGGGGTGCCGGCTGGGGGGGCTCGACGTCCCCTCCGCAGTGCCTCGGAGAGTTGACCTGTCGTAACCAGAGGTGAGACAGATCTTTTTATTAATTGGAGGTGGGTGGATGTAGAATTAAGGTTCTGTGAAGCCCCCTCCCCCAATTCTGGAGAGGGGACAGCGACCCCTCTCCTGCGGGAGCTGCAGGATCAGGGGTCCCGGTCCCAGCGTGGCCGCAGACAGAGGGTCTCTAAGAGTAGGGCTCTGAAGCCTAACAGATCGTCCCCGAGTCTCCCTCTGAGTCTTCTCTCCATGCAGAATCTGCCTCCTTGCCCTTGCCCTCTGGCCCCAGGTTGTAGGGCCCAGCAGGGGCAGGCACATCCCGGGGTCACAGGTCCACCTGGGGGCGGGGTGGGGGGAAGCAGAGGCGATGGAGGTGGCCAGGCTGGTGGCGAGGGGCACGGGACCGGGCGAGGAGGCCGACAGAGCAGCCAGCGAGAGAAGAAACTCGGAGCGGGGGGGGGGGGGGGCTGCTCGGGAGAGGGAGGCTGGGGGCTGAGGGTCCAGGGCGCTCACCAGTGGCGGCCCCTTCCTGGGCCATGAGTGGGCAGCGGGAGTTGAGGTGGAGGAGGGAGGAGCTGTGTGGGGCACTAGGCCTGGTTGCCATGGAGACACCCCCCAGCCAACCTTTTTCCACAGCCCCTTCTGGGAGCAGCCCTGGTCTGGGACCAGCTGGTAGGGGGCGGGAAGGAAGCGGGGCCAAGGTCACCCTGGCCTGGGCCCCAGGGTTTTTCTGGTGGTTTTCTGAGGCTTCCTGGGCTTCTCCCTCGGAAGGGATTTGGGGAAGAAGTCAGGGAAGAAGTGTCAGGGAGCCGGTAAGGGACACCTGCCGGGAAGAGCCGGGGCAGGTAGGGGGGCATGGGGGTGTAGACGTGGGCCTTTGGGGTGCCGAGCAGCACCTCCTGGTGCTGGACAGGAGTTGTGGTCTCGCGGGCTGCGTCTTTCTGAAGGGCACTGTTAGTTGGGGGAGTTTTTAAATGTGGAGGAAGATGTGGGCTCCTGCACAGGGCAGGGGCACTCCTGGGAAGGGGAGAGCCCAGGAGCTACAGTGGGTGGAGGAGTGGGCCAGTGAGGGGCTTCTCCCCTCCTGATGGGGAGGGCTCGGGAGAGTGGGGGGCCTCTGCGCGGCAGTGCTAGGCAGAGCGGAGTGGGGGTGCAGGTCGGCAAGGGGGGGCTATTCCCCAGGGCGAGACGCTGGGGTCGGGAGGCAGCAGGTGCTGTGAGTGGAAGAGGCGCACCAGGAGAATTTCCTTAATGGAGGAGAAAGTGGTGGTGATGATGAGTTTGCCCGAGGCGTAGAGGCGGCAGGGACCTGATCCGCCGGAGTTTGTGCTAAGCGGAGGGGAGAGAGTGGGGATTCTCCCTGAGTCAAAGGCAGAGAAGGCGCTGGGGCTGGGGTGAGTTATGGGAGAGGGCAGGGGGCACGGAGGCTCCCCGGGAGCTCCTGGTGGGCAGCCCCTCTAAGCCAGGCTTTCTTGGGGGGGCAGCAGGACTCCCCGGGGTCCTCTGGCGAGAACTTGGCACTGCAGACCAGCCTTGGCCCCCCCCCGCGCCCCCCTCCCGCCCTGAGCGGCAGGGGCTCCCTCCCAGGAGATGCTCGGATGTCTGCCCCAGTGGCAGAGACTGTAGGACAGTTGGGGTCTGGACAGTAAGGGCTCCTGGTGTGAGTGGGGGTCTTTCTGTGGTGGGATCTGCGTGAGACAAGACCTGGGGGTGGAGGGGGACTGGGCTGGACAGGGCGCCCCAGTGAGGAGCAGGGGGCTCAGGGACCCGAGGAGGGGACAGCTGGGCCGGCTCTCCAAGGCAGAGCCGGGGGCCGAGAGGCCAGCACGGTGGGAGTGGGCTTTGGAGAGGTGGGTCCCGCGCGTCCTGTCTAACCCCTCTCTCTCGCTCCCACCCCCCACCAGCCGGCGACCATGGCCGCCCTCTGACCCCCTCGGCGCCGCCGCCGCCGCTGCCTGCCCGCCGCGCCCCCAGCCCCGCCGGCCGCCGGCCCCCCGCTTCTGCCTGTGCTGCGACCCCCCCCCAGCCGCCGGCACGGCCCCGCCCCCGCTGCCCCGGTGGTGGCCCACGGCCCCCCGGCTGCCCGTGGTCAAGCTGGAGTCGCTGAAGCGCTGGAACGAGGAGCGGGGCCTGTGGTGCGAGAAGGGCGTGCAGGTGCTGCTGACCACGGTGGGCGCCTTCGCGGCCTTCGGCCTCATGACGATCGCCATCAGCACCGACTACTGGCTGTACACGCGCGCCTTCATCTGCAACACCACCAACCTCACGGCCGGCGAGGACCCGCCCGCCCACCGCGGGGGCGCCGGGGGCTCCTCGGAGCGCAAGGACCCGGGCGGCCTCACGCACTCGGGCCTCTGGCGCATCTGCTGCCTGGAAGGTAGGCGCGCGCCGGCCAGGCCCCCGCCCCCGCCTCAGCCCCTGCTCCTCCGCGCTCCCCCGGCGCCCTGCGGTGCCACCCCGGGGCTCCCTCCCCGCCCGTGGCCGGCATCTGTGCTCCCTTCCTGGGCCTGCCCTGGCCCCCGTCAGCCTCCTGCCTCCCTTTGGCCTCCTCTGTGGCCCGGAGCTCCCACAGCCCTGTCCTGTCCCGTCTCTGCTGGGGATTCCTCCCAGAGTCGCTGCTGGCGCTCCCCTCCCCCCCTTCCCCTGCTTCTGCCTCCCCCACCCCACCCCAGGGCTTCTCCGCTGACCTCCCTCCTTCCCCTCTGCTCCCCCCTCCCACCCTGTGCCCTCCCTCTCCCTGTCTCAGCCCCAGCCTGGCTTCCTCGTGTGTCTGGGAGGGCTGGCTGGCAGCAGAGCCCGGAGTGCTCATCCTGTCCATCTGTCTGTCCACCCTGGGTGACCGCTCTCTCCCCACCTCCCCGCACCCCACAGCAACACTCAGGAGTGGGAGCAGCGTCCCCAGAGGCCGACAGCCTCCCTCCCCGGGCCCTCTTTCCCTCTGGCCCTTGCTCCTCCGTATTGCTGGGCACACACATGCTGAGCCGAGGAGACCGTGGTCTCCTTGAACTCTGAGGAGGGTGAGGTGAGGAGAGGCAGGCCCAGAGAAGTTAGGCCACTCGCCCAAGGTCACCCAGCGCTGGAAAGGGCAGAGTCCAGAGGGCAGCTGGGGGGTCTGGTGGGTGGGGCTTGCTGGCCGATGATGCTCTGGGTCTGAAGTGTGGCATGTTTCAATGTGAACCCCTAAATGTGAACCCCCAAATCTGAGTCAGTGCCAGCATTTAAAGGTAGGGAGAATTCACCCTGAAGATCCCGCTGTTGGCTTCTTTGGAGCCTCAGGGTGTCTGAGCAGGGCGGCTGGCTGCAGCCAGGGGCAGGTGCCCGTATCAGAGCCACCCCCGCCCGCTGCCACGTCCCACCCCTCCCTTGCCTCTCGGGGGGTCGCTGTCTTCCTCCTGCGGCTGTTTGAGCTCAGGGCCGTGAGTGTCGGCCCCAGCCCCGCGCACGGACCCGAGAGTCCTGGGGGCGGTGGTGTGGTCACCCCTGCTCTCGCCCATTTATCCACTGGCAACGGGGTTTTCCTGGGTGCATACGTGTGTCAGGCAGCATCCTCCGGCCTGGGGCTGCGGCAGAGGAAAGACAAAAAGGCAGCCACAGACAAAATCCCTGTCTCTGTTTATCTTGTATTCTGGAGGTAAACAAATGAAACCTTTATGGTATGGGATGGAGTTGGCAGGATGGGCGGGCAGGGAGCAGAGGTCGTTTGGGTGGGGTCTGAAGGAAGTGAGAGATGCAGCTATGTATGTGGGTGTGTGCAGAGCAGAAGCAGCACGTGCAAAGGCCCTGGGGTGGGAGTGTGGCTGGGCAGAGTGAGTGAAGGTCTTTGCCTCTGCTCTGAGATGGGAGCCATTGGAGGCTGTGGAGCAGAGGAGTTCCTTGAGGCGACTTCCGGCTGTGACGGGGTGGCTCTCGCGGCATGGAGAGGTGACGGCGGGGCGGGGGGCAAGGGGAACAGAGCAGGTGGCATGTATGGCAGGAGCGCAGCACTGGGGAGCTGCACAGATTCATAGTGGGCAGGAATCGCTGATGGAGCGACTTTGGGAGAGAGAGACAGAGACAGAGAGAGGAAGTCTGGGTGTCTCGAACACACAGCTCCCCAGCCTCCGCTTGTTGGCTGTGGGGAGGGGGCGTCTCGGGCCACAGGGGGTGCTGAGTGGCATCCTCGCCCCTCCCACCAGGTGCCAGCAGCCCCCTGCCCCTGGCTGACGCCCGGGTGCTGTGTCCCGGAGTGAGAACCCCTCCCTCTGTGGGGCCTCAGCCTGAGCACCCGAGCCCGGGGAGCCGCAAAACATTCCCTCTCGTTCTTCTCTCTCTAACGTGTGATTCTTAACGCACATTCACGTATTTCATTTGAAAGGCAGAGAGGTGCAGAAAGAAAGAGTGAGAGACAGAGACCGCTGGTTCCCCCCAGTGCCTGCCACAGGGCAGGGCTGAGCCAGGCCCCAGCCCAGAGCCTGCCACTCAGTCCTCCAGGCTTCCCACGTGGCGGCAGGGCCCCGAGTGCTGGAGCCCTCACCAACAGGCAGCCAAGCCGGCACTCAAACCAGGCCCTGCGAGAGGGCTGTGGGCACCCAAAACGGCGTCTTAACCCCTACGCCAGACCCCCAGCCCCATCTGGTTTCTTACTGAGGAGAGAGACCACGGGCTCGGCGTGGGTCGCGCCCTGTAAAGCTCATGCTGGGAGGCTGCGTCCGGCAGGGGGGTCAGCACAGCCGTCTCTGCTCACTGCAGCCTCGCTGCCTGAGCGAGCGAGCGAGCGAGCGTGGCTGGGCTGTGCACGCGGAGATGTGAGATTCCCATCCGTCCTGCCTGTCGTGAGATCGCCTCCTTAGGTTTTCCCAGTCATCACAGAATGGTGAAGCCCGGTCTCGGGTGGGTTTGGCCAAGGGGCCCTGGTGTTCCGACCGTCGCCGCGGGCTGTGGGAGCTCTGATCTCCCAGCCGACTCAGGGAGGCGGCAGCCTGGAGGGGATGGCAGCTGACGGACAGAGGCTGAGCCTCCGCTGGGGACCCCCGCGCCCCTGCTGCTCCACGCTCAGGGCCAGCTCCCTGCTGGTGAGCCCAGGGAGGCAGCAGGTGACAGCACAAGTCCTTGGGTCCCTGCCACCCCCGTGGGAGACCCAGATGGAGTCTGTGCCTCGTGGCTTCAGCCTGGCCCAGCCCTGCCTGTTGGGGACATTTGGGAAGTAAACCAACAGATGGAAGATGTCTCTCTCCCACCCCTTTTCCCCCCACCTTTCAAATAAATAAGTGAATCTCTTTAAAAACAAACTGTGAGGCTGACGAGAAGCAGGCAGGAAAGGTGGCTGAGAAGGCACTGGTCACAGCCGTCTGGGGGCAGCCAGGGAAGCGGGTGGCCCAGAACCCCGGGGGAGGTAGGTGGAGGCCATGCCCTTGTCACTGAGCGCTGGTGACAAAGGCTGGGAGGGGCGGGGTGACCCGCCCAAGTCACAGGGCCAAAATGCAGACCGACAGCCCATCCAGGTACAAGGGGTCTCTGGAGAGAACAGAGCAGCCCTCGCTCCGGCTTCCAGCCCGTCAGGGACACAGGAGTGTAGACACCGGGCCCCTTGCTCTACCCAGAAGGGAGGAGGTGGACCCCTTGGCCACAGCCCCCTGGGGACTCCTGGGCTCCCTGTGTCTCTGAGCCACACTCCCTGACCTCGGGCCCTGCACGTGGCCTCTCTTCCCATGCCTTGTTCCATCGCTGGGGCAGTGAGGATCCGGGTGCGGGGCTGGGGACGTCACAGAGGTTGCAGGACATGGAGTTAAAAGATCAAATTCACTGGGTTTGAAATTCATGCCCAGCTCTTTGCGTATCACACACGGTTCATGAAATTCTTGAAGGCGTGCTATTTAAAGGGCTAGCAGCAGGGACTGAGGCCCAGAGGACACAGTTTATTTTCTTGTCACCGTTGCTACTGTTCCTCCTCTTCCTCCCCGGAACCCCAGGAGCCCAGCCCCCAGCCCAGTACCGCCCGACGGAAACACAGCTCCAGCCACACGTGTGCCTTGACCCTTTCAGTCTCTGCATTAAAACACAAAGAAATGAGTGGGCTTAATGCTAATATCACACTTTATTTAACCCAGTATAGCGAAAGTGGTATGTGTCAAACAGGTAATCAATATAAAAGTTATTCCAGGATAGTATGCATTTTCTCGCTGTCTCTTGCCTCTCTCTTTTTCCTGCCAGGTCTGGAATACACAGCTTAGCATCTCTCAGGGCATAGCAGGGGGTGCTGGGGAGCTGGGGCCCCCCTCCTGGGGAATCTCAGGCCCCCAGGCCCCCAGGGCTTTTCCCACCACAGGAAGCCCTGCTCAGCTTGGCACCTGCCTTGTTCCCCATTGAAGCCACACAGTGGCCAGGGAAGGTTTTACCCCCACTTTCCTTGTTAGGGCAGACAGGGGAAGGGGCTCAGCATGGGCTGCCCAGCCTTGTGAGGGGTGCACCTGCTCCAGACCGATGTCCTCGCTGTCCCCAGAGCTGCCCGTTACCCCTCACCTGCCCGCTTCTATGGAGCCCAAGCTCTGTTCAGAAAACTCCCGGCCCGTTCCAGGCCAGCGGCACAGACACCGTGATCCCGTGCTTGAAGTTGCCAATGAGGACATGGAGGCTCTGGGAGTCCCCAGAACCATCAGGCAAAGACGGGTGCACCAGGTGGTGGGGCTGGAGCACAGAAGTAGTGCCTTCGACTCCCCACCCTCCATGCCCTCCTGTGTAAAGCGGAGATCCTGGCTCTGCCCATCTCCAAGGCTGGTCCCAGGGTTTTCCTTGAATCCACTCCTTCATGGTCACGGATGCCAGGGGAGGAGCCCTCAGCGTGAGTTCTGGGAAGGTCTGGGTCCTGGAGCAGTGCCCCGGGCAGCACTGCTGCTGCCTCCCTCGGCCTGCAGGCACTCCACACCCCGCAGCCCAGCAGTCCTGGGGGGCTTCATCACCCAGGCTTGAGTGGCCATTAACCCACCCGCCAAACCCTCTCCCACTCCCCTCAGTGAGCCTCTAATCACGGCCCGGTTCTGTCTGATGACCGAGAGCTGCCTCACCGGAGCGAGAGGCGCTCCTGCTGTCCAGGGGACTCCAAGGGGCCGGGGGCAGAGACTAAGGATGCCCAGAGTTCTGAGTGGCTTAACTCGCTACCTGTGAGATGCTCCAAGCAGTGCCCGGTGAGCAGTTAGCTCCCAGCAGGAGCTGGCCGGCGTGGTGACTGTCACCACTCACCTGCTGGAAGGCTGTGGGTGCCCAGTGCTCCTGCACGCTCAGCCTCCTTGCACTGTGCTGACTTTGGAGAGAATCACCCTGATCCCCGTCAGGGAAGGAGGGAACCTGAGCCCGCGGTCTTAACCCAGCACCCGTGATGGCTGCGCCGACAGGTGAGAGTCTGTGCGTGGAAATTACGTATCCCTTCATTCTTTTTGCAATTGTGTAATGGACATAACAGACATCAATCATCCCAATGCTTTTAAGCGTGCATCCAGTCTCCGAAACGGAGACTGTGCACCTGCTAAACGGTTCCCCACCCCCTCCTCCAGCCCTGGCTACCTGTCTCGGCGAGTTTGACTGCTCCAGGCACCTGGGTATGTTAGGACACCCTCAGAGCACTTGTCTTTCTGTGACCGGCTTGTTTCTCTGGGCACCACGTCCTCTGAGTTCGTGTGCATCGTGGCAGGCGTCGTAACTCTCGGGATTCCCTCCTGTGCGGTCCACGTTGTGTTTATCCCTTCATCTGTGACGGGCGTTTGGGTTGTCTCCACCTGTTGGCTCTGGTGAAGAACGCTACTACAACCCCAGGTGCACAGGCGTCTATTTGAGTCCCTGGATCCGGTTCCTTTGGGTACACACCCAGAAGTGGAGTTGCCAGATCATATGGTGGTTTTATTTTTAATGTTTGGAGGAGCTGCCACGCTGTTTTCCGTAGTGGCTGCACCGTCGCACGTTGCTACCAGCAGTGCACAGGAGTTCCAACTTCTCCACCTCCTTGCCAACACTTGTTATTTTATTTCCTCTGTGTGCGTTTCTCTTAAATAGCAGCCATCCTAGCGAGTTTAAGATGGTATCTCATTGTGCTCGGGCTTTTTTTTTTTTTTAAGATATTTTGTTTTTATTTATTTAAAAGGCAGAGTTACGGAGAGAGGGAGAGAGAGGCAGAGAGAGAGAGAGAGGCAGAGAGAGAGAGAGAGGCAGAGAGAGAGAGAGAGGCAGACAGACAGGTCTTGCATCTGCTGGTTCACTCCTCAAATGACCATAATGACCAGGGATGAGACAGGTGAAAGCCAGGAGCCAGGATCTTCTTCCAGGTCTCCCACGTGGGTGCAGGGGCCCAAGCACTTGAGCCATCTTCTACTGCTTTCCCAGGTACATTAGCAGGGAGCTGGATTAGAAGTGGAGCAGTTGGGACTCGAACCGTGCCCACAGGGAATGCCGGCACTGCAGGCGGCGGTCTAACCTGCTGGGCCACAGCACCGGCCCCCATTGTGGCTTTGACTGCTTTTAGGGAAAGCCCAACCACTGTTTCATGGAAAATGTTTATTAAGCACCTGTTATGTGCATGGCCTCGCCCTGGAGCCTGGGCTGCAGGGGAGAATGGCCCAGGTGCTCGGCCCAGGCGCGGTGGAGTCCTGCTTCCACTACCCAGCAGCTCCGACTCCATGCGCCCTGTTGGGGCCTCAGTCTCTGCATCTGGGCAATGGGGACAATGTGCCGACCGCTGTGAAGGAAGCACGTCACTGTGCACCAGGCAGAGCGCCAGGTCTCTAGCTGCACCCCGCCCTTGCATCAGCCCTGCAGGTGCGGGAGCAGAAGTGGCTGGCCTAGTCAGCGTGAGAGAGTGCAGGAGTCCGAGGCAGTGGCTCCGACACCCAGCACTGGCCGCCACAGGTCACCCACCACACTACCTGTTTCTCTGGACGCTGAGAAGCCGTGGCCCCGGCGGCCTCGCAGCCTTGTGGGCATTCTCCCCACGCCTCTCCGGCCCGTTCCTTCCCTGCTTCCTCGGCCTCCGCTCTGCGCTCCTGCTATCCGTGTGTCCACTCATCCACCCAGTGGCCCTTCCTTCAGGCCCCTGAGTGTTGGGCCCAGTGCCACGACACCCTGGGGATGCACAGAGGAGTCAGACCTGTGCCCCCCCTCCAGGGCCTCCCAGGCTCATAAATCAACCCAGAGCTGTTGTGGCCCAGAGAAGTGTTTGAGGGCACGTGCACATGTGTATGCGCTGCATGTGCGCACACGTATGTATGTGTGGTGTATTGCATGCACGTGTGCAGTGTGCTTATGCACACACGTGTGTCTGCATGTGTGTATGCACACGTGTATGTGTGTTCGAGTGTGTATGAGCATCTGTATGCATGTGTAGGTAGGTGTGTGTCTGTATGTGTCGGTGCATGAGTGTATATGCATGTATGTGTGCACACGTGTATGCGTGTTCATGTGTTCATGTATGAGCATGTCTGTACATATGTATATGTAGGTGTGTGTCTGTATGTGTCGGTGCATGAGTGCATATGCATGTATGCGCGCACACGTGTATGCGTATTCATGTATTCGTGTGTGTATGAGCATGTCTGTACATACATATGTAGGTGTGTGTGTAGGTGTGTCGGTGCATGAGTGTGTATGCATGTATGTGTGCACACATGTATAGTGCACACGCGTGTATGTGCACGTGTGCATATGTATCATGCATGCGCGTATTTGTGTGCGTGCATGCGTGTGCGGTGCTTCCTCTGTGAGGCCCCCCAAGCGGCCCACTGCGGGCCACCGCATCAGCTCAGTGCGTGGAGGGGGGCGGCCCCCAGCTCAGGCAAAGCCTGCGAGCGGCAGGGCGCTCGGACAGGGCAGGCAACCAAGTGTTGGCTCGGATGTACTTTTCTCTCCAGCTCTGGGCGAGAGGCAGACAGCGGAAACTGTCCCCGAAGAGAAGGCTGGGGGTAGGGGCTGCAGACCCCGCGGGGCCCCGGGCGGGAATGGGGGTCCTGGCCGGAGACAGGAGCCCGCGGGGGTGCAGGGCTCTGCGCGGGCTGCAGGGCCCCTGGGGTCTTCCCGCCTTTCTCTCTGCCTTTATCCCCAAACAAGTGAGGAAGCTGACGCTGGAGAAGGCAGGAGTCTGTCCCAGACCCCGCACGGGCCGGGGCGGGGAGGGTCTTTCGTCACGGGTGCCCCACCCCCACCACCGCGTCCCCCTCCAGGGTTGAAAAGAGGCGTCTGCGTGAAGATCAACCATTTCCCGGAGGACACGGACTACGACCACGACAGCGCGGAGTATCTGCTCCGTACGTGGGGATGCTGCGGCCCGGGGGCGCGCGGGGCGGGCCTGGGCGGAGGCGCGGTGGGCGTCCTGGCCAATCCAAGTCCAGGAGCTGAGATGCTCTGGTTCCCGATTGGCTCAGTGCTTCCTGTCCCGCCCCCTCCTCTCACCTCGGGGCGGGATGAGGGGGGATCCTGTGTGCTGATTGGCAGCGGCGGCAACTCCGCTCTGTGACTGGCGGTAGATTCCCAGGCTGAGATTGGTCCCTGCGCCGCGGGGGCCCGCGGGGAAGTGGCCACTCGGAGGAGCCGGCTGGGGAAGCCAGTGTTGTGATTGGCAGCCGCCCCGAGAACGCGGCAAAGCCTGAATCCCGATTGGCTGCTGCCTCAGCCAGGCTCAGAAATCACAAAATCTGTTTGCTTGCGATTGTAGGGGTGAGGAGAGGGCTGGAGAGGGAAAAGGGAGAAAGATGGAGGAAGAAGGAGACGGATGAGGGAGCAAGAAAGGAGGGAGGAGGGGAAGGAAATGGGGGCGTGAGAGAGAGAAGGACCCAGGAAGACGGAGGAGCCAGGCGGATGGGGGACAGAGACCCCTGGAAAGATGGCGGACATGGGGGACAGAGACCCCCAGACAGATGAAGCCAGGCGGACATGGGGGGACAGAGACCCCCCCCCAGACAGATGAAGCCAGGCGGACATAGGGGGGAGACCCCCAGACAGAAGAAGCCAGGTGGACATAGGGGGGAGACCCCCAGACAGAAGAAGCCAGGCGGACATGGGGGGACAGAGACCCCCCAGACAGAAGAAGCCAGGTGGATATGGAGGACAGAGACCCCCAGACAGATGAAGCCAGGTGGACATAGGGGGGAGACCCCCAGACAGAAGAAGCCAGGCGGACATGGGGGACAGAGACCCCCGGAAAGATGCAGGCAGGCGTGAGGGGGACAGAGACCCCCGGAAAGACGGCGGACATGGGGGACAGAGACCCCTGGAAAGATGGAGGAAGCCAGGTGGACATAGGGGGGAGACCCCCCAGACAGAAGAAGCCAGGTGGACATGGGGGACAGAGACCCCCGGAAAGATGCAGGCAGGCGTGAGGGGGACAGAGACCCCCGGAAAGACGGGTGAAACCAGGCAGATGGGGGACAGAAACCCCCAGACAGATGAAACCAGGCGGACATGGAGGACAGAGACCCCCTGAAAGACAGAGGAAGCCAGGTGGACATGGGGGGACAGAGACCCCCGGACAGAAGAAGCCAGGCGGACATGGGGGGACAGAGACCCCAGACAGATGAAGCCAGGCGCGGGGGTCAGAGACCCCAGACAGATGAAGCCAGGCGCGGGGGTCAGAGACCCCCGGAAAGACGGACATGGGGGACAGAGACCTCTAGACAGATGAAGCCAGGTATGGGGGGACATAGACCCCCGGAAAGACGGAGGAAGCCAGGCGCGGGGGTCAGAGACCCCCGGAAAGACGGATAAGCCAGGCGCGGGGGTCAGAGGGACCCTTGTGTGGAGTCGGGGTCCCGGGGAGCGAGAGCAAGGGGCGGGGACCCGAGAGGAGCGACCTGGGGAAATGAGGGGGGGAGGAAGCCGGAGGCCCCAGAAGAGCGAGCCCGTGATTTTCCACACCCACCCGCGAGCCGGGCGCGGGCGGCCCATCCCCGTCTCCCCTCCCCGCAGGGGTCGTCCGGGCCTCCAGCATCTTCCCCATCCTCAGCGCCATCCTGCTGCTGCTGGGGGGCGTGTGCGTGGCGGCCTCCCGCGTCTACAAGTCCAAGCGGAACATCATCCTGGGCGCAGGCATCCTGTTCGTGGCCGCAGGTGAGAGGCAGAGGGAGGGGGCGGCGGGCGCGTGGGTGTGTCCGCGAGGCGACCCCGCCCCGAGCGCCCCCCCCCCCGGGGGTGCGGGCCTCCCCGGCTCCGCCCAGCCGAGCCAGGTAGGCGTGGACGGAGCGGCGCGCGGCCCCGGTGACGGAGGGGAGGAGCTTGCGAGGGGGCGGGGCCGGCGGCCGAATCGGGACCCTGCGCGTGGGGGCGGGGCGCGGAGGAGAGATTTGCATGCCGGTGGGGCGGAGTCTGCGTCCGGGGGCGGAGCCTCGCGGGTGCCGCTGGATCGGGGAAGGCGCTCTTCCTGTTGCCCCTTGGAGGAGGGGCGGTGCCGCAGGAGACTTGGAAGGGAGAGGGTGGCGCCATCAGGGGACAGAGAGAGAAGCCGGGCGTCCCAGGAGGCCAGCGCCAGGCGGGTCCCAGAACAGGCCCGCCGAGGGGCGAGGCCCTGAGGGGGAAGACCAGGTTTCCTTTCTTTTTTCCAATTATTTATTTACTTATTTGAAAGGCAGAGAGGGAGCGGGAGAGCTCTTCTGTCCGCTGGTTCGCGCCCCATGCGGCCGCAGCGGCCAGAGCCAGCAGCGTCCTCCGGGCCTCCCTCGTGGGCGCAGAGGCCCAAGCATCCCGGCCGCCCTCTGCTGCTTTCCCAGGCGCATTAGCAGGGAGCTGGATCGCAAGTGGAGCGGCCAGGACTCGAACCGGCGCTGAGGCAGCGGCTCGACCCCGCCCCACGCCCGTTTTGCACTCTGAATGAGCCTGCTGGGGGCTCCACGAGGAGCTCCTCCTCGAAGATGCGGGGCGGGGCTGGCTTGGGAGGCCTGCAGGAGGCCCCGCGCCGATAGGAGGGGATCCAGGGCTGCAGGGGCGGCCGGGGGCTGGACTGCGCTCGGAGGAGCGGGTCGGGCCTGCAGTGGGCAGGGCCGCGACGGTCAGACAGGTTCTGAGTGGAGTCAGCGCCTGGACCCAGGCGGGGCCTCAGTGGCCAGCGCAGGCGGGCCAGGGGCTTAGGCCATCTGTGGGGCTTAGGTCCGTCGGGGTGGAGCCCAGACCACCTGGGGCAGAGGGGCGGCCAGCCAGGGCACAGACCAGCACCTGAGGGTGGAATATGGGCTGTCCTGAGGTGGGGTTTGAGGTCAGCCCATTGCCATTTGGGGGCAGGGCCTGGACAGCCGCGGTGCCTTAAGGGATGCGTGCTTGCCCACCTGGTGCCCAGTCTGTAGCCTGGGGCCCCGAGCAGCTGGAGAGGGCCTTAGGCCGGCAGGGGCAGAGTTTAGACCAGCAGGGGCGGGGCCTGGGGCCGATGGGCAGGCTCGGATCGGCAGGGGCGGGGCCTGGGGCAGCGGGGCGGGGCTCGGGCCGGCGGGGGCGGGGCTCGGGCCACCGGGGGCGGGGCCTGGGGCAGCTGGGGCGGGGCCTGGGGCCGATGGGCAGGCTCGGGCCGGCGGGGGCGGGGCGCCGCCGACCCGGGGCGGCCTCGAGGCTCCCGTCTGACGTCCCCGCCCAGGCCTGAGCAACATCATTGGCGTGATCGTGTACATCTCGGCCAACGCGGGCGAGCCGGGCCCGAAGCGCGACGAGGAGAAGAAGAGCCACTACTCGTACGGCTGGTCCTTCTACTTCGGCGGGCTGTCCTTCATCCTGGCCGAGGTGATCGGCGTGCTGGCCGTCAACATCTACATCGAACGCAGCCGCGAGGCGCACTGCCAGTCTCGCTCGGACCTGCTCAAGGCCGGCGGGGGCGCGGGCGGCAGTGGCGGGAGCGGCCCCTCGGCCATCCTCCGTCTGCCCAGTTACCGCTTCCGCTACCGCCGCCGCTCCCGCTCTAGCTCCCGCTCCAGCGAGCCGTCGCCGTCGCGGGACGCGTCTCCCGGCGGCCCCGGCGGCCCGGGCTTCGCCTCCACGGACATCTCCATGTACACGCTCAGCCGCGACCCGTCCAAGGGCAGCGTGGCCGCGGGGCTGGCGGCGGCCGGCGGCGGCGGCGGCGGCAGCGCGGGCGCGTTCGGCGGCGGCGGCGGCGCGGCAGGTGCGGGCGGCGGCGGCGCGGCGGGCGCCGAGCGGGACCGCGCGGGGGCGCCCGGCTTCCTCACGCTGCACAACACCTTCCCCAAGGAGGCAGGCGGCGGCGGCGGCGGCGGCGGGGTCACGGTCACGGTCACCGCGCCGCCCGCCGCGCCCGCCCCCGCGCCGCCCGCGCCCGCCGCGCCCGCCCCCGGGACCCTGGCCAAGGAGGCCGCCGCCTCCAACACCAACACGCTCAACAGGAAAACCACGCCCGTGTAGGGCGCGGCGCGGGGGGCCGGGGCGTCCGGGGCGCGTGCGCGGGCGCGCGTGCAACGAGGCCGCCGGCGTCCGGGCGCCCCGCTGCTCCCCGCGAGCGCGCCGGACGGAGATGCGCGGCCTCCCCGCGCCCCGCGTCGCCCCCCGCACCCCGGGGCGCGCTTGCGGGGGCGCCCCCCTTCGCCCTCCCGAGCAGGGACCCCAGGGAGGGCGAAGGGAGGGGGCCGCGGGCGGGGGCGCGTCGTCGTTTTATTATTTTGGGGGGGCGGGGGGAGGGCCGTGGCGTTTTTTGCAGTTTTGAGGTGTTTCCTTTCTAATGTTCTGCTGTGTGCATGTGGGGGCGGGGCGGGGGGAGGGGAGGGAGGGACTCCCGGCCCGGCCCGGCCCCCACGGAGGGGCGCATAGCACACGAATCCGTAGTCCCACCCTCACACCACACTAGACGCTCTCCATAACGCACAGGGAGCAACGAGCCAGGAGGGCGCGGGCACTCACTCACTCCTTCACTCAGCAGTGCACAAGGGCTCATTAAGCACCTGCTGTGTACCAGGTACACAGGAGGCGCTTGGGGAGGGGGTGGGGCCGCCTTGCGGGGTGGGGAGCGCGGGGCCGGGGGTGTCCACCCAGGGCTCCTGAGTGGTGCCTGGACAGAGCAAGTTTCGCTCAGGATGCAGGGGAGAGCTGAGCTGTCACCGCGTGGCTTTATCCCTGGGGCTTACCCCAGGTTAAGAGAAAGAGCTATCCTAGTGCCGCTGACAGGCGAGGCTGGTGGGCAGGGAGCAGCCTGGGGCAGCGGGGGAGGAGGCTGGAGACGCGGCAGGGCCGCAGGGTACAGGTGAGGTCAGGAGTCTGGTCGGATTTGACCTGAGGGTCTCTGGGGCCTTGGGATAGCCTCTTGTGCACGGCGCTGAGAGGGAAGACAAGGACCCAGAGACCAAGGCGGAGACGCTGGATACAGCACCGAACCCTGACCTGCGCCACTCACTCCTGTGGGAGGGAGCCCGGCAGGTGCACAGACGGAACTCGGGGTCTAGAGACACACATTTCATTCATTCACTCACTCACTCAGGCAGCCGTTCACCCCCCAACACTTCTCAGCATCTGCTTACCTGGACACTGGAGGCGAACGGGTCCCTGGCCCTGGCCCCAAACCCCATTGCTGGGAGGGCGGTCCCCAGGGGACGCCCAGTGTTTGAACAGTTACGCAGGACATGAAACACCAGGGCAGAGCAGGCGCCTGTCAAGAGGTGCTTCCAGAAAGCCCCGCTGCCAAGGGGACAGAGACGTGGGCTGGGCGCAGGGCAGGGACAGGAGAAATCTGGAGGACAGGCATCCGGTCACCCCAAGGCACAAACGTCCTGAGAAATGACAGGTTTCTGAGGGCCCCACGCCTGTGCGGAGCGGGGTGGGGGGAGTACTTCAGCCCTGGGGAGAACTAAGGAACTGTATTCCAGACCCAACAGCCAACCCTTGACAGGTTTTTGAGCACAGGCACGCCACGATCCTACTTTTATTTAAGCCACGCCAGATAACATCAGAATCACACTTCTGTGCGGAGGTCAGATTTCGGGAGTGCCCAGTGCTCTCGGGAACACAGAATCCACAGCAGCAGGGGTGGATGTCACGGCAGGGGGAGCCAGAAACCACTGTGGCACTGGGCTTGCTCATCGTGGTGGCCGCTGCTGTGACCGACCAGGAAGGGGGACGCTGGGGAGCAGAGAGAGGACCTGGGGGGAGGGGCCGAGGGTGGGGAAGCCGAGTTGGGGTATCAGGTAGCCAGCTGGATATGCAAGACAAGCTTGGGGGAGAGGTCAGGGCTGGAAACATAAGTTTTCGGAAGCGTCAGTGTGTAAGAGACCTTTAGAGCCACAGGACTGGATGAAGCGACCTTGGTCAGAGCCTTGGGGGCACCTGTGGCAGAGGAGAAGAGGGAGGAGGTAGCACAGCAGAGCTGAAAAGTGGGGGGGGGGGGCAGGGGAGTCCCAGAGGGCAAAAGCACAAAGCATTCCAAGAAGGGGTGTGGCGGCCAGGGCCAAGGCTGGGGAGGGGGGACCCGGAGAGCAGTGACCATGAGACTGGATACCCTGGGCATGGGTGACATCATTTCAGGCGAGGGCCGGATGGAATTCCTGCTGGAGGAAGGGGGGAGTGAGGGGACGACAGGAGGAACCCAAGTCCAGCATTTTTTGGGGGAGGGCATGGAAGTGACATGGACAAGTGAGGGTGATGGGCGGGTGGCGTTAGGGCCCGAGGAGGTGCTGCTGTAAGACAGGTACTAGGGCATCCCGCCCGTCTGCCCGGCTCCTGTCTCCTGCGGCCCCTGTGGATCCCATCAGGTGCAGAGAAGAGCAGGGAGGCGCTGATTTATGGAGGCTACAGGGCATTTCCTGAGGACGTCCCTCCCCACCCCCCCTCCAGTGCCTGGCCCTGCAGTCTCCGCCCTTGGAGGAGAGGCAGGCACCACACGGAGGGAGGGGGGCCCTGGCGAGGCACGCAGCAGGCTTGGGACACGTGTGGTGTCACCATCTCACTCCGTCCACTCACAACACCTGCTCCTTCAACCATTCATCCATCCATTCATTCATGCAGGCCAGGGATGCACACTTGCCAAGGCTGCCTGGGGACCCAGTCTCGCGGTGGGTGCTGCTCCCCGTGTCTGGCCTCGCTCTGGACACAGCGGCAGACCCCGTGCCTCGCACAGAGGGGCCCAGAGCAGGGGCAGGGGTGGGCGGCGCAGGAGGAAGTGAGGAGAGGGGGTTCCACCTGGGCTGGCTGCCGAGGGCTGGGGGACGCCCTGCTGCCCAGCCACACAGCTGCCCTGTCCCTGCCCCTGGGGGAGCTGGAACTGCATGGACGGCCCCCCGGGGTGCCCGGTCTAATAAAGCTGATGAAGAGGCTGCCCTCTGGCTCCGTGCCGCCCGCCAACCCCGCCTGCAGACCCCGAGTGTTCCTCGCTCAGACCCAGGGCTCCGGCCCCTCCTCCTGCCTCAGACCCAGGGGTCAAGGCCCTCAAACTCCTCCTCCTTCACACTCAGGTCCAGGGACCTCCAAGCCCCTCCTCCCTCTCCCCAGTGTCCAGGCCCCCCTCCTCCCTCAGACCCAGGAGTCCTGGCCTCCAGCCCCCTCCTCCTCCCTCAGACCCAGGAGCCCTGGCCCCCAGCCCCTCCTCCTCCCTCAGACCCAGGAGCCCTGGCCCCCAGCCCCTCCTCCTCCCTCAGACCCAGGAGTCCTGGCCCCCAGCCCCTCCTCCCTCAGACCCAGGAGCCCTGGCCCCCAGCCCCCTCCTCCTCCCTCAGACCCAGGAGTCCTGGCCCCCAGCCCCTCCTCCTCCCTCAGACCCAGGGGTCCTGGCCCCCAGTCCCTCCTCCTTCCTCAGACCCAGGAGCCCTGGCCCCCAGCCCCTCCTCCTCCCTCAGACCCAGGAGCCCTGGCCCCCCAGCCCCCTCCTCCTCCCTCAGACCCAGGAGTCCTGGCCCCCAGCCCCTCCTCCTCCCTCAGACCCAGGAGTTCTGGCCCCCAGCCCCTCCTCCCTCAGACCCAGCAGCCCAGGCCCCAGCCCCTCCTCCCTCAGACCCAGGAGTCCTGGCCCCCCAGCCCCCTCCTCCCTCAGACCCAGGAGTCCTGGCCCCCAGCCCCCTCCTCCCTCAGACCCAGGAGCCCAGGTCCTCCTCCCTCAGACTCTGGAGTCCAGATCTTTTTCCTGGCCCCTCCAGTGACCTGGCAGTTCGGGCCCGGGGCCGCCTGCTGAGGTGGGAATTCCAGGCTCACCGCCCTGGCCCAACTCCTGTGGCTGGGAAGGGGTCTAGAGTGCTCGCCCCTTAAGGAAATTGAAGTCCCTCGGGCTCCGGCCCCTCCTCCCCGCTCGTCCCCTTAAAATACCCGGGATCCCTATGGCAACCGGCGCCGGGCGACAGGTGTGGGTGTTATTTACGGGGCGCGCCCGAAATAGCCCGGGCCGAGGGTGGGCGGGCGCCGGGCGCGGCGAGGCGGCGGGGCCGGGCGGAGCCGGACGGGTCGCAGGCGGCGCGGCGCCCAGGCAGGACAGCGCGGGGGCCCCGGGCCAGGGATACCCGGGTGGGAGGCCCGGGGGCGGGGGGTCGGAGGGGACTGACACCCCCTTCCGGGCCTCAGCTGTCCTGTGCGGCCTCCTGAGGACCTCAGCTGCCTTTGCGGGACTCCCCTCCGTCCCGCAGCCACGGCCGGCAGCCGCGGTGGACATCTGCTGGCCTCTCCGTGCATGGCCCCTGTCCCCTTTGCCTGAGTGCCCGCGGGTCCCCAGCCTGTCCCCCGTCTGTGGGTGCTGGCGCTGCCGCTGCCTCTTGACGCCCAGAAGAAAGCCCACCGGCCCTGGGGACCCTAGTTCCTGCTTCTCCCAGCCCGAAGGGACCCAGACCCCGAGCCTGGCCACATGTCTCCAGTCACACAGGGAGCCCTCGCTGCTCTTCCCGCGTGCCCCAAGCTCTGAGCCTGGTGGGGCGCTGGCCACGTGCTCTGGGTCAGCCCACCCAGCTGTGGCTCAAGCCTCCAGCCTCCAGTTCTCCAGTCTATGGGATCGGGTTTTTCTTCTCCAAGCCCCAGAAGCCGCCTCGACCCCTCTGTTTGAGGTTCCAGCCAGGTCTGGGGCCTTTCTGCATCCTAAGAAAGGAAACCCAGCCCCACCCACTCCCTGCAAGCCCTGCGGCTGGGCTCGGGCTGCCCGCCTCGGCTCTGCCTCCCTGGAAGCCGTGCTGCGCCCCGGCCCATCCCGGAAGGACGATGATGTGGTCCAACTTCTTCATGCAGGAGCAGGGCCGGCGTCGGCGGGCTCGGGGGCAGCGGAGGCCCGGGCTGACGCCGGAGCGTGAGGGCAAGGTCAAGCTGGTGCTGCTGCTGGCCGCCGTGGGCGCCACGCTGGCCGTGCTGGCCGTGGGCACCGAATTCTGGGTGGAGCTCAACACCTACAAGGCCAACGGCAGTGCCGTCTGTGAGGCTGCCCACCTGGGGCTCTGGAAGGTGTGCACCAAGAGACTGTGGCAGGCCGACGTGCCCACAGACAGAGAGACCTGTGGCCCCGCGGAGCTGCCCGGAGGTGAGCGTCCAGGGTGGGGGGCCCGAGGACAGCACTGGCACCCTACAAGGAGCCTGTGCTCCAAGGAGCGAGTCAGCTCCCAGAGCCTGCAGAGGGAGAGGTAGACAGAGACTTCCCAGAGTGTGTGACTCTTGCCAACCCCGAGAGAACCTGTGCTTCACAGCTTGTTTGCGGTTACAGCGCATACCCCAGCTCAGCCTGTACCCCAGCTATAGTCTGTGCCCCAACTACAACCTGTACCCCAGCTCAGCCTGTACCCTAGTTACAACCTCTTCCCCAGCTCAGCCTGTGCCCCAGTTATAACCTGTACCTCAGGTCAGCCTGTGCCCCAGCTATGACCTGTACCCCAGCTCAGCCTGTACCCCTAGTTACAACCTGTGCTCCTAGCTGAACCTGTGCACCAGCTATAACCTGTACCCCAGCTCAGCCTGTGCCCCAACTACAACCTGTGCCCTAGCTCAACCTGTGCCCCTAGTTACAACTTGTGCTCCCAGCTCAGTGTGTGCCCCTAGTTACAACATGTGCCCCAACTACAACCTGTACCTCAGCTCAGCCTGTGCCCCAGCTATAGCCTGTGCCCCAACTACAACCTATACCCCGGCTCAGCCTGTGCCCCTAGTTACAATCTCTTCCCCAGCTCAGTGTGTGCCCCTAGTTACAACCTGTGCCCCAGCTCAGCCTGTGCCCTAGTTACAGCCTGTGCCCCAGCTATACCCTGCACCTCAGCTCAGCATGTGCCCCAGCTATAGCCTGTGCCCCTACTACAACCTGTGCCCCAGGTATAACCTGTGCCCCAGATCAGCCTGTACCCTAGTTACAACCTCTTCCCCAGCTCAGCGTGTGCCCCTAGTTACAACCTGTGCCCCAACTACAACCTGTGCCCTAGTTATAACCTGTGCCTCAGCTAGCTTGAGCCCCGAGGACAGCACTGGCACCCTACAAGGAGCAACTCAACTTCCTGAGAGCCTGCAGAGGGAGAGGTAGACCCCGAGAGAACCTGTGCCTTACAGCTTGTCTGCAGTTACAGCGTGTACCCCAGCTCAGCTTATGCTCCAGCTATAACCTGTACCCCAGCTCAGCATGTGCCCCTAGCTACAACCTGTGTCCCTAGCTCAGCCTGTGTCCCTAGTTACAACCTGTGTCCCTAGCTCAGCCTGTGCCCCTAGCTACAACCTGTGCCCCAGCTGTAGCCTGTGCCCCAGTTACAACCTGTGCCCCAGCTCAGCCTGTACCCCTAGTTACAATCTGTGCCCCAGTTACAACCCATTTTCCAGCTCAGCCTGTGCCCCAGCTCAGCCTGTACCCACATCCCCGAGCGGTGTGTGGTGTCCATGCACCAGTGTGTTTCCCTAGAGAAAGCTTGGCTGTGTCCCCAGACCCAGCTGGTGCTCTCAAGCTGTACTCACCCCGACAGCCTGCACTCCCGAGACGGCTGTGTGCCCTGTGCCCGTGCCCAGGGACCACCTGTGCCCCTGTGGAGGCTGCCTGCATCTCCATCCCGTGAGCCCTGGGGAGAGAGACCACCCTGACATCCGCCCAGGGAATAGTCCCTACCTCTCCCCCACGTACACAGTCTACCCCACGAAGCCGTGCACAGACAGCTCCCGGCATCCCAGGACGGACCTGGTGCCTGTGGAGCAGCGCTCATTTCCTCTCCCAGTCCCCTCGAAACGCCCAGAGTGTTTCTCTGACCCTGACCCTCTCGCTGTGCCCTGCTGACACCCCATATCACCTCTTTCCTGCACCATGGTCCTTTCATCCCTTGGGCTGTCACAAAGGACCATAGCCTCCTTGCTGAGCCCTCACCTCTGCACCCCCCAGCCCATCCCAACCTCCTGAGGCCACCTCCCAGTCCCACTTCAGGGTCCAAAGACCACCCCTCGGCTGCCCAGGGCGATGCCCACCTTTGGGCTTCTGCAGGGGGATGCCACATCCTTTGGTGCCAAGATGCAGGATGTCCTAAGCAATTAGCAGCTGGCGAGGGATGCCAGGCAGCCGCCTTGTTCCGGGGCGGGGCGGGCGTGGACCCTGCGTCCCCTCTGACTCTGAGATCCCCTGCAGCCTCACAGCTGCCCCCTGCACCTTCCCCGCCCCCCCGCGCCAGCAACTGTGCCTGTGTCCTCTGCCTTCCTGTTCCGCTTCTGCGTGGGGATGTCCTTTGGCTCCTCCACAGGCTGCACGCCCCTCCCCGGCTTCCATTGCCCCTGCCCTCTGCCTGCCTTCTCCAGTGCTGTGCCTCAGTTTCCCCCTGTGTAGAGTCAGAGGGTGGCTCAGACTTGGTGGCTTCTGCGGGAACTTCTGGCTGTAAAACCCAGCTTAGAAAGAGCCCTTTTTGGAATGGAGCTTGAGGTTTCTTGGGGTTAAGTATACCTAGTTGAATCCTCAGGTTATACAGCAAAATCTTGTGCTTTGTTTTGTTATTTTTTTTTTAATTTTTAACTCAGCTCTTTAATCTGTTAGACAAATGTGGATGTGTATTGTGACTTGGATAAGATATAGTGTTAGTTTATGTGCATATGGTTTTTGAAAGATTGATTTATTTATTTGAAAGGCAGAGTTATGGGGGGGGGTGCCTTCCATCCACAGATTCACTCCCCAAATGGTGGCAGTGGCTGGGGTTGGGACCAGGCTGGAGCCAGGAGCTTCATCCAGGTCTCCCACATGGGCGCAGGGGCCCAAGCACTTGGGCCATCATCTACTGCTTTCCCAGGTGCATTAGCAGAGAGCTGGATAGGAGGCGGAGCAGCCGGGACTTGAACCAACGCCCATATGAGATGCCGGTGTCACAGGTGGCGGTTGTACCCGCTACACCACAGCAGCGGCCCCTGGGAAATACAGTTTTCTGGCCCAGGCGCGCACGTGTGTGGCCATCATGGGCTGAAATGCTACGCGATGGCTGTGAATGTGCTGCCTCTCCCTGAGCGAGTGCGAGAGCTTCCCACTTCGGCTAGTTCCAGTTCCCAGTCTCGGCGGTTCCCTCTCATCTGCCGCCCCTTCTGCCAGCCTCCCTGGGCAGGGGCAGCCCCTCCCCGCTGGCTCCGGCGCGTGCCTTTGGCACCTGCTCTCTGCATCGCCATTCATGTCCTGTGCCCACTTCGCACGGGGTCAGTGCTGTCGTCCTGCCAGCCCTTTATGAATTGCAGACGGGGCTCCCTCCCGAGAGGGAGCTGTTCCCAGCACGCAGCCCTCAGTCTCCGGTGTCTGCGTGTCCTCTGCTGAATAAAGCGAGTGTCCTGTCTGATCCCAGCGGGCCCTCAGCCGCTGGGAAGAGATCACCGTCTCGTTTTTCAGGCGTTCGGGCAGCCACAGATCTGGACCTCAGAGCTGGGAGCTGGATCCCGGCTCCCAGATGGGCGTGGGGGCAGGTGGCGCCCGTGTCTGAGTGTTTCCAATGTCTCCTTTTTAGGCTCCCGTGAGCCTCATTCAGGGTCCAGCCCTGAGCTTTCCCAGAATGCCACTCGTCACGGCCTCCCTCCCTCCCTCTCTCTGTCCCCCACAGAAGCAAACTGCAGCTATTTTAAATTCTTCACCACGGGAGAGAATGCCCGTATCTTTCAGAGAACCACGAAGAAAGGTGAGCACCTCCGTGGGGGAGGGGTGGGGTCCCGGCTCTCCTCCCAGGGACATGGGCTGAGCATCGGCCTCTGCAGAAGTCACATCTCTGGGGAGCAGTGGCACAGGGTCAGCAGCAGGGGGCGTGGTTCTCCAGAGCCTGGTGCCCTGGGGCTGTGCCCAGTGCTGTGCGACTGCAGGCGAGCCACAGCCCCGTCTGTGTCTGTGCACGCGAGCATCTCACGGATGCGCCCTCGCCACAGGCAAACCGGGGTCTCTGTGCTCCCCGTGCCTTGGTGTCCCCGCCAGGATTCCATGACCCAGGGCAGAGCCTGGGCTATGAGGCCCTTCCCTTCCCTGCCCCTCCCTTCTCTTCTGCCCTGGTGCCATGTGAGCCCAGGCAGGCCCCCGTGCACCTGTGAGGTAGCGAAAGAATCCTCGTGCACACCCAGGAGACACCTGCTGGGTGCCGGTGGGTGCCCCGTACCTCCTATATGCCTATATGCTGGAGAGAGATTTTGATCCCGACTTTATGGGGAGGGAGCTGAGGGCTGAGGGAGTGACTGCCTGGATCTGCAGGTGGGAAGTGAGAACCCCAGCCCCGTAAGGCTCCACCTTTGCACGGCCTTGCGTATGCCCCACTGACTTAGTGTCTCCGCTCCATACATAAATTAGAGCCCGATGACGAGTCACAGTCAGTCATTCCCGTATCTCTCCAACCTGCCTGGCCCCTCTTCGCTCTGCGGCCCTGCCTGAGCCTTAGTTCCAGCAGCGGTGGACGTGGACGCCCCGGGCTGGATGGCGTAGGGAGCTCCCCTCCCGTCCGGAATCGTCCCCCCGCAGAGGAGCCCTTCATTCCCTCCATCCCACGTGCTCCGCTTCTCCCCCTGCCGCCCTCACAGAGGTCAGCGTGGCAGCTGCGGTGACAGCCGTGCTGGGCCTGGCAGTCATGGCCCTGGGGTGCCTCTCTGTCATCATGGTGCTCAGTAAAGGTGCAGAGTTCCTGCTCCGAGTGGCAGCTGTGTGCTTTGGCCTCTCAGGTGAGGGCTGAGAGCTCGAATGGATGATGCGAGGTGGGATGTCCCAGCACCGTTGCATGCTGGGAAGAGAGACGTCCACGCACTGTTGCATGCTGGGAGGTGGGAATGTCCAAGCACCATTGCATGCTGGGAGGAGAGACATCCAAGCACTGTTGCATGCTGGGAGGTGGGATATCCAAGCACCATTGCATGCTGGGAAGAGAGATGTCCCAGCACTGTTACACACTGGGAGGTAGGAATGTCCAAGCACCATTGCATGCTGGGAGGAGAGACATCCAAGCACTGTTGCATGCTGGGAGGTGGGATGTCCAAGCATCATTGCATGCTGGGAAGAGAGATGTCCCAGCACTGTTACACACTGGGAGGTAGGAATGTCCAAGCCCTGTTGCATGCTGGAAGGAGTGTTGTCCAAGCACTGTTGAATCCTGGGAGGTAGGGAAAGCCCAAGAATTCTAGGAGGGTCAGAGATGGGAGAATTTCCAAGCTCTGTTGCTGGCTGAAGATGGGAGGATTTACAGAGTTTTAGGTCTGGATCCTTGCATGCTACTGGAAGGCAGGCTCTCCAAGCACTGTTGTAAGATAGGAGATGGAGGAAGCTTGAGGACCACGGGAGTCTCTAAAATGGGAGCGTTCTAAGCCCTGGTGTTGGCTGGGAATTGGGAATCCAACACTTTCTTGGATTTGGACCTGGAGTCTGCAAGCACTGTTGCATGCTGGGACGCAGGGGCAGATCTCCAAGCACTGTTGCATGCTGGGAAGTAGGGGACAGTCTCCAAGCACTGTTGCATGCTGGGATGCCAGGGAAGACCCAGGGCTGTAGCATGGTCGGAGACGGAGAGTTCCAAGTGTCGCGCTGATTGGGAGAGGAAGTGTCTCCAGTGTTTTTGGATTCAGACCTGGACTCTGCAAAGGTGTTGCATTCTTGGAGTTGTGAACAGTGGCGCTCAGCGATAAAACTTGAGTCCATGCCAGTCTAGCTCAAGTCTGTATAGTAGCTTTACTAGGTGTAGACGACTCCTCTTCACTGTGGAGATGAGAAAATCAAGGCTCAGAGAAGTGAGATTGAATCACTCGTGGTCACAACCAGTGATGGTGGAGATGGGAGCTGAAACTAAGTCTCCTTATTCCAAAACATGCCTCCTTTCACTGCACTCGGGGGCTCTGTTCCTGTGGGATCTCGGTAGGCTCAGGGCGTGGGTGGTGGGGAACATGCTGAGCTAGCAATCAGCTGGGCTGGGTTCTGGCCCAGGCTGTGCCTGAATCACTGTGTGACCTTGAATGCAAGGTGCAGCCGGGGCATTCAGGAGCAGGCTTGAATGGAAACCAGCGATGAGCACATTCTTACTGTTGTCGCCCTGGAAGGAGGAGAAACCCAGTCACCCCTTTTCCTTTCGTTCAGTTAGCCATTACTGCACACACGTGTGCATACATGCAGGCAGTGTGCATGTAGCATCATCAGAGTGTGCAGGGAGGGAAGGCTGTGCCCTCGGGAAGACGCAGGTCTGGCTGAGAGCAGAGGACTGCCACCGGAAGTCCCAGTTACAAGCTTCAGGAAGGGCTGGGGAGGAAGTGAGGCTTCTGGGGCGTGCGGGGTTCAACACGGGGTTCCCTGGGGGCAGTCGGAGGAGGCCTCTCCGCGGCGCCGGGGGCACCGGGGATCTCAGCACCAGCTCGGTGGATTTGACCCTGAAGGGAAACCAGTGTGATTGGAGCATGGCCCAGGGGATTCGGCAGAGAATCTGGAAGATCCGGGTTGGGGTCCGATGCCTTAAGAGCTGTGTGATTTGGGCGAAACATTTTCCCTGTTTGGGGCTCAAATCTCCTCCCATTCGTGAACCCATTGACCCAAAAGTCCATTCATGTGTCTTTCCAATGATCCACCGGTTCCCTCCCCTGTTGCATCCCCTTCCTGTCTTCCTTTTGTCTTCTCTGCTACCCTCTTCCCCTCCCCACCCTCCACCTGCTCTATCCATTGTGTGTCCCTCCGTTCATCCAGCAAGCGTCCCTGTAACACCTAAGTCAGCCTTCGCAGGCACCTGTTCTCGGGCGTGTACGCACGGTAGGAACTGGGTGCCAGCGTCATTAGCAAACTCACACCTGTGTCACTCCTGGGAGAGCCGCAAAAGTGTGGCCATCACGGTGGTTTCTGAGTGTCTTGAGCACGGAAGCGATGGTGGATGCCAGGCGGCCATTGCTGCGGTGGTGTTGGGTTTCAGGGGCCAGGCTGGGGACCTGGGGTCTCCCAGATCAAGGGGCTCATTTAGGTTAGGCGATTGTTCCTCTCCAAGAAACAACCACCCGAATAGCAGGTTCTCTTGGGAGAGAGAAATTAGGTGAGTGGACAGTAAGTACGTGGACCAGCGTATGTTAGGACGATGCGTGCTCTAAGCGGAACGTGAAGAGGTCATGAGAGCGAGCTGGGGGAAGAGGTCAGGCATGGGCTTAGGAGGGAGGGTCACCTGGGCAGGCGCTGTTTCATCCAGACCGCTGGCCCTCAGGCTTGGAGGAACCGGGTGCCCCCTGAAGACCTGGGAGCAGTCGTGGGGGCAGCTGCTCCTCCTGGTTCGGGGGCAGGCAGGGCCTGTGTGAGTGACACCAGGAAGTCGGGTGCACCGGGTGTGGCTGCAGCTCCGCCGTGGAGTGGGGGTCGTGACAGGTGCACCTGCCGCACAGTGTCACAGGGAGCCGGCGAGCTTCGGAGGCATTGGGTAAGATTCCTGTGTGGTGGAGGTCAGGGGTCAGGGAAACGCTGCCCCCCACCCACTTTGCTGTTCGCCCCATGAGCTCAGCGGCAGGGTAGGCCACCAGGAGAACTGGCATGGAATATTTAAGATGCCAGGGCCGCATGGGGCTTTCCTGGCGCATGACTCGCAGAGCCATCAGCACCCTCTGCGCCGCCCCAAGGCCCTATGTTTCTGACTCAGGCCTTGGGCCAGAAATGAGACAGTGCCCTTGGTTCTTCGGCCCCTCCCCCACTGTCAGCCACGCCCACCCACAGGCCCTGGGATGTGATTCTACCCCTCCCACGCGACCCCACCTCCTCAGGGCACCACCCCGTTTTCCTGTGGCCTCCTGGCCTCCGCCTGCGCACCCCACCCCCCCCGTCCTCCTCCAGGCCCGCAGAGCAGATCACAGGGGCCGCTGCTGCCCGTGAATCCCCACCTGGCTCCGTCCGCATGGGCCATGCGGGGCTCCTTGCTGGGGCCCAGACGCTCCAAGCTCGTGCCTCCCTCGGAGCTCTGCGCCCTGCTGCCTCCGGGGTCTGGAACGTTCTCCCACCATCTCCCCATGTGGCCCGATTCCTGCTATCAGCCCGTCACCGGTCAGAGGGAGCAGCTCCAACCTCCTGGTCTACCGGAGGCCCTCTGGGTGGGTGTTGCAGCACAGGGGGTGAAGCCGCAGCGTGGGACACCCACGTCCTTTATGTGGGTGCTGGTCCCAGGGAGTCCCAGGTGCTCTGCTTCTGACCCAGCTTCCTGCTAAAGTGCCTGGGAGGCAGCAGGCGGTGCTCAAGTCCTTGGGGCCCTGCCACCCACGTGGGAGACCCGGATGGAGCTCTTGGCTCCTGCTCCTGGCTTTGGCCTGGTCCATCCCTGGCTGCTGCAGGCATTTGGGGAGTGAGCCAGTGGATAAAAGTCATCTCTCTCTGTGTCTCGCTCTTTCTCCCCCTCTCTGTCTCTCTGTCTCTCTCTCTCTGGAGCTCACTCCTCTGTCTCTGCCTCTTCTCTGTCTCTCTCTATCTCGCTCACTCCTCCCTCTCTCTCCCCCTCTCCCTCCCTCCCTCCCTCTCTCTCTCTTTCTCTCCCTTATAGCCAGCTGGGCCCTTACCTTGTCTTATTTGTTTAAGATTTATTTATTTATTTGAAATGCAGGATCAGAGAGAGAGAGAGAGAGAGAGAGAGAATAAGATCTTCCATCTGCTGGATGCCTACAACAGTCAGAGCTGGGCCAGTCCAGACCCAGGAGCCCATCTGGGTCTCCCACGTGGGTGCAGGGGCCCAAGCACTCGGGCCGTCCTCCACTGCTGTACCAAGTGCATTAGCAGGGAGCTGGATCGGAAGCAGAGCAGCCGGATTGTGAGCCGGCACCCGCATGGGATGCCAGTGCCACAGGTGGTGGCTTGACCTGCTATGCCACAGCACCGGCCCCTACCTTGTCTTATTTTTGTTCTTAGCGTTGGTCAGTACCCAAAGTTACCCGTCACATCTGCATTCCTGTGCTCAGGCTGCAATAATGAATGCTGGGAGATGGTGCGGAACAGAATCGAGGGCCTCACGGTCCGGAGCCTGAAGTCCCGGCCGAGGCTGAGGCTGGGCCGCTTCCTTCTGAGGCCTCTCTGTGGCTTGGGTCCCTGAGGCCTCACGTGGTCTCCCCTGCCCACCCCGGCCTGTCTCCCTTCCAGTTCTTTTGAGGGCCCTGCTGCCTGCGGGCACACTCGCACGCCCTCGCTCTAACTCAGCAACCTGGTTAAGGGGCCACCTTGGAATCTGGTCTCCTGACCAGGCATCTCCCTGGCGACCATCCTGCACCCTCCGCAGAGGGATGTGGCCACTCTGGGCCCTGTCTTTGCAGCAGGAGCCCAGTTAGGACCTGGTGAATGGGTCAGGACGGGGCGCTGCAAGACCGCGAGAGCCCGCCCTGGTCAGAGGGTGCATGGTGCCGCCTCCCGGTGCCGGTTCTGTGGTCTGAGCCACAGCGCAGGGTCTAGGAGGCTGGGTTCTCAGGGCAGCGGTGGCGGGGGAACGGGGCTGAGGTTGGGGCTGGGCTGCGGGGTCCGAGAGGAGGACGGGGCGGCATCAGTCAGAGTGCGGCAGGCGCGGCCCCGCCCCTGCTACGAGTCCCTTTACCCTTTCTGCCCTCCCGAGGTTTCTCAGATGACAGCGATCTTGTTAACATTTCTGCTTGTTCTGGGGACGGGAGGGGGCCTGGCAGGTCCGCTCCTCTGGCCCCTGGTCACTGGTGTGCGCTGGCCTGCGCCGTGCCTCTGACCCTGCTCACCGACCCCTGTGGTGAGCCGCTTCCGTCTGTGTGTCCATCATCCGTCTCCTGCCACGGAACAGAAGCCCCACGGGGAGGGCTGTGGCTGTCTTGTTCCTTCCTCTCCTTCTCTTGTGCCGTTTTCTCTAAGAACCAACGTGCACTGCGCCTGGCTGCTCCTCTTTCTGCCTGGCGATCCTCACTCTTCAGGGGACGCCTGTGTGTTTCTTGATTCCCGATTCACTTTCTTAAAATAGGCTGTGAGGAAATACGTCGAATGTGACGTTTACCACTGTCACGGTCTTTATTTTTTAAAGATGTATGTGATGTATTTGGAATGCAGAGAGGGAGGGAGGGAGGGAGGGAGGGAGAGAGAGAGAGAGAGAGATCTTCCATCCACCTCTCAAATGGCCACAAGGGCCAGGGCTGGGCCAGGCTGCAGCCAGGAGCTCCATCCGGGTCTCCCATGCCCTTGGGCCACGTGCTGCTGCTTTCCCAGGTGCAGAGCAGGGAGCTGCCTGGTAAGGGAGGCCCTGTACCTCCTCAGCTCCACTTTCCCATCCCCTCCCTGCAGCCCCTGGCCGCCCCCACCCCACGTCTCCCCTCTCTGTGGGTTTGTGTCTTGCTCTGAGTTTACCTCCTGCTCCCAGAGTGACCAGCGACATAGGAGGTGTTTAGTGAGCACAGGTGTCCCTTGGTATGGAGGACTCTAGGCTCCGGGACTCACCCCCACGGGCACCCCTCATACTTTCAGTCATCACTAGATAACTTGTCATTATGTATGTAAGCCGTATTAAGTATGTAAATACGAGAGGACTTCAGTTTGTGAGGGTGGAATTAAGCGATGAGTGTATTTGGGTGTGAATGAGGTAGAAATCCGTGTGTGATGCCAGACACGCCCGTTGTGAGAGAGCTGTGCTTTTGCACCCCAAGACTTGCCCTGAGGCCCCCTCCAGCCTCTGTGTTCCTTGGGGGACCTGGGACAGGGGTGCACAGGCTGCACCTGCTAGGAAGAGACGCAGCCAGGTTCCTGAGGTGTGGGTGCACCCACCAATGGATGCAGGGGTGCAAGCGGCAGGGGACCTCGCCGGCTCCGTGGTGGCAGGGAGGGGAGACCCTGAGCCCGGCTGCCCCTCTCTCTCTCCGCAGGCCTGCTGCTGCTGGTGAGCCTGGAGGTGTTCCGCCATTCCGTGCGCGCCCTGCTCCAGGGGGCCGGCCCCGAGCCCCCTGCGGACCCACCGCTGGCCTTCGAGTACTCGTGGTCCCTGGGCTGCGGCCTGGGCGCCGGCCTCATCCTGCTGCTGGCGGGCGTCTGCTTCCTGCTGCTCACCCTGCCCGCCCAGTCCTGGGGCTCCCTCTGTGTGAAGCGGGGGCCGGGGGCCACCTAGAAGAGCCAGCGGCCTGCTTCCTCGAGGCCTCCTCTTCCTCCTGTGACCCTCCCTTCGGGGACCCACCCATGTTCTCCTCTTTCCTCTGTGACCGTGGCTTTCCTCTGTGGCTGGATTGGAGTGGCTTGCGCGTGGGAGGGGCTGAGGCTTTTTGCAAACGAGGGTCCCCAGGGAAGGCCGGTGGGGACCTGACGTGGGTGATGGGGGTGGGGGCGGGGGATGAGGTCCGGGGTCTCGGGAGGGGAGTGGGGAGCCCCCCTTGGGTTTCCAGGCCTGGATTCGCCACCCTGCACCTCAGGGTTCAGAATCCAGATCTGACGGAACTGTGATCTGATTTGGGAATTAAAGGTTTGGAAACGGAACCGCTGTGATGTGGGGTACGTCTGTGATGGGGTTTGCGTCCTCAGGCAGAGAGAAAGGCCCCGTGTCTACTCCAGAGCCCACCACGGGCTTCTCGTCCATCGACCGGGACCAGCAGAGGGAGGCCCCACGGAGGGCAGACAACCCGGCACTGGGCCGGGCTCGGATACGGCTGCCTGTGCAAGTTCCCATGTTGGGGCTGGAGCCCCGTCCTTTCTCGGGGCGGCCCCGGTGTCACCGCAGTCTTTGTATGCAGGGGACAGCGATGAGACTCTGCACAGTCCTGGGGCGGAGCAAGCCCGGCCCAGACCATCTTGGACTTCAGCCTCCAACATTTTGGGCTCCCTGGGCTGAGCCAGCACCAGTGCCTGGGTCGCAAAACCCGGAAGTGGGGTGCATCTGTGGCAGCCGCCTACAGACAGCGCTGCAATTGGGTCACAGTGAGAAGCCAGACAGGTTTTGAGGTTCATGAGGGAAGCAGCCGTTGGACAGTGTGAATCTGTTCCCTGTCGCAAACCCACAGAACCAGTGGGAGCCGCCCTTGCGTGGGGTCCCCCAGTCGCTAAGGTGGAGGACAGGCCCAGCACCAAGGATCAGGGAAGTGAAGTGACCTTCTCAGGCGTGCGGTGTAGAAGGCAGGATCGGAACCCAGGCTGGCGGCACCCATGCCCTCGACCAACCGCGGGGCAGTGTGGGAGCCTCCCGCTCAGCCCAGAGCCTGTGGCCTCGCAGGGTGTGCGTTAGCGGGGAGCAGGACTCAAACCCACACACCCCGAGTAAGCAGGGGTCCCGGAGGACAGCTTAACCACCTTGCCCCACGCCCTCCATGAGTCGTCTCCTTCCTGAAATGATACAACAGGACAGAACAGGGTGGGTTGGGAAGGCAGATGGTGTGGCTGGGGGTGTCCTGGGACCGAGGGCCCCCAGAACCCAGCTCTTCTCCTGGGTCACCTGTGTCCTCCCTCACCTGGGCCCTCACCCTGCCTCCTCCTCACCCCCACCCGCCTCTGCCCCCCACTTCGGTCAGTGATGGACACTGGGGACTGGGCACTGTCAGGAGACTTCTCTGGCCCACCAAGGGTGCTGCTGGCACCCCACCCTGTACAGGGCCATCCAGCAATGGAGAATTAGCTGGTCCCAAATGGCAGGAGTTCCAAGTTGAGAAATCCTGTGTTATTTTTTTTTCTGAAATAAACTGTCTGCTGTTATTTTTTTCCAGCTTTATTGAGGTGTAATTGACAGATAGCAGATATATTTAAGGGGTTTGACATTATGTTTGAAACAGGTGTACGTTGCAGAGTAATAAAGCAAGCTCATTAGCATAGCCATGGTCTCACAAGTTTTTGTGTGTGTGTGTGGTGACACTGAACATAGATACAATGTCTCAGGGATTCTCAGCTGTTCCCTACTGTTGGCTGTAGTCACTGAGCCCAGTGATAGCTCCTTCTAACTTGCCCCTCCTGTCTAAATGACACTGTGTATCCTTGGATCAGTAATGCTTCTGCACTTAATTATAAAGGCAATTGCAGAAGCTCTTTAACTTGTCACGGAGTTGGGTCCCAGTGAACTCGGGTGAACTGGAACACCTGTCCCCTGGGGGCCCAGGTACAGCCCGAGTTGCTCCCCACAGGACCGCTGGGGAGACCTGGAGCTGTGTCCTCTGCCCCTGCCCAGCGACCCAGGGCACAACCCCTGGGAAAGAGTCACCCTCGAAATCGGGTGTGGAGTGTGCTGACTCAGTTTCACAGGGCAGTAAAACGTGGAGAAATCATGGATTGAATCGTGGTAAGTCGGGCCCCATGTGCCTGCACGATGCATCACACATGTCAGGTTAATACTACAATAAGTATGTACATTATTTTCCAAATGTGTTCATGTCCTATTATATAAATATTCTAACATGTTTGAAAGATTTATTTGAAAGACAGAGTGATAAAGAGATCTTCCATCTGCTGGTTCACTCTCCCAAAGGCGCACCAATGGCCAGAAGTTGGGTGTCACCAAAGCCAGGACCATGGAACTCCGTCTGGATCTCCCACTTGGGTGCAGGGGCCCGAGCACTTGGGCCATCTTCTGCTGGCCTCCCAGGCGCATTAGCAGGGAGCTGGATCAGAAGTGGAGAATCCGATATGAGATGCCGGTGTCATGCCAAGCAGGGCTGAACCCACCATGCCACAACACCAGTCCCCAGTGCGGGGCTGGAAGAGGCTCCCTCACCGAGGAGACAGCTCTGCCATCCAGGAAGTGTGGGGCGACCCTTTCTTGGTGAGCTGGGGCTGCACCCCGGGTCTCCAGTCCAGGGGTGTAACTTCCTCCTCATCCCTTTGTGCTTAGCCCTGGGCTGGGTCCAGATGGGCTCCCCTCCTTCCAGAACAGGTCCGGAAAGTCTCTGGCAAGGGTCAGGAGCTGGATTGAGAGCGGCCGCAGGGTTACCGTGGGAGCGCTGTGCCAAACCTCCTCTTCCCTTCCCCTGCAGACACTCCTGGGCTCAGCGCAGCCCTTCCTCCTCCTCACTCATCATCTTGAGGAGCAAATGCACTGGTAATCCCCGCGAAGCTCCCGGAAGCCCCCTGGCGGGCCGCCACGGCCACAGCCAGCTCCCCAGTTCTCAGCCTTCAGGGAGCAGACGGAAGCAGGTGTCAATCATGCAGCCGACAGAAGGAGCATGTAATTATAAACCGAGATAAGCGCCTGGGTGGCAGAGATGTCATCGTGTCTTGTCCGGCCAGCCCAGGGCAGGCACTTCTGCTGGGGGATTGCAGCGGGGTGGGGTGGGGGTTCTGGTCTGGGGCAGTGGCTCTCTGCCCAGCGGAGTCTTCACTCTGCAATCTCTGGGGTCAGGACAGGAAAGGTAACAGAGACAGGGGATCTGGGCGTAACCCTAACCTGACCGCAAGCACCCACCTCTTCTGTGTCCCACAGGCCCGCTCTCAGCTTCCATCCTGGGTGGGGAGTGGAGACACCCCTCGGGGACAGAGGCAAGGGCCAGGTCCGTCTGGCATCCCAGCCTCAGCCGGCCCGTGCTCCCTGCAGTGCGGGAGGACTGAGGCCCCTTGGGGTCCACAGTCCTTCCTGTCCTGCTGGTGTAGATTCGTAAGCTCCTCTGAACATCAGCTCAGACTTACAGAGAAGCTGCAAGAATACACAGGGGCTTTGCTCACAGAAGACACACACGCCCTGTATCAGATTCAACACCATCGGGGCAGAAGTGCTCTCTCGTTCTCTCTCTTTGCTTCTCAGAACAATAATATTAAACCTGGGGTCAGCACTGTGCCGCAGCAGGTTAAAACCCTGGCCTGCAGCGCTGGCATCCCATATGGGCGCCGGTTCTAGTCCCGGCTGCTCCTCTTCCGATCCAGCTCTCTGCTATGGCCTGGAAAAGTGATAGAAGATGGCCCAAGTCCTTAGGCCCCTGCACCCATGTGGGAAACCCAGAAGAAGCTCCTGGCTCCTGGCTTCCAGATCGGCGCAGCTCCGGCCAGTTGTGGCCATCTGGGGAGCGAACCAGCGGATGGAAGACCTCTCTCTCTGTCTCTACTTCTCTCTGTAACTTTCAAATAAATAAAATAAATCTTTAAAAATAATATTAAACCTAGGAATCCATTTTTAAAAAGCAAAAGGCAGAAGGACAAAGAAGAGGCGCTGACCCCTTTAGCAGGTTCAGGCTGGGCCATCCCTGCTCTCTCCCCACCCCTGCCCTGAGTCCGACTCCAGCACTCGGGGCTCCCCTTGTCTCTGATTCGCTGCACAGTCCTGGTCTCCCCAGCATGAATCCCTCCCGGGTGGAACCCAGGAGGGACGGACGACAGCCGCTCTGCGCGCTCATTCCAGCCCCAGCCGCTCTCGGGGGCCTGGTCTCTGCCGCTGTCCAGGGCCTGTGCCGTGCGCCGGCCCTGGGGTGCGTACAGGGACCTGTGCGGGGGAGGGGGGCTCCAGGTGCGCGCGCGTCCTGTGCACCTGCGGGCTGCCAGGTGCGCTTGCCCGGGCTGCGCGCCGCACTCCGCACCGCACGGTTTTGCTCGCTGGTTTCTTGCTGGGCTTGTGTGTGTCCTGTGTGGGTGCCATCTGTGCGTGTGTTTCTAGGCGTTTGTGACTTCTTCCTCTGTGTTTCTGAGCGTGTGCGGCTCGGCGCGCGCTTGTTTGGGTTTGCGTGTCTCCGAGCGTCTGTGCCGCGGGGTTTGCAGGTCTCCGGTGAGTACCCCCACCCGTCTGCGTCTGTGCTGTGCGCACCTGCTGTCGATGGGCGGGGGTGTGTCTCGGCAGCGGAGCTGTAGGTGAAAGGGAGGAGGAGGCGGTCCCGGCTCAGCGAAGCCACTCTTCCTAGCTGGGTGGCCTTGGACAGGTGGCCTGGCCTCTCTGCGCCTCTGTTTTCTCACCGGTGAGAGTGGGCAGAACACGGCCCCCTCCGCCAGGTGGGGAGCATCAGCGAGTGAATCCTGGAGGAAACTTCCGGAGCAGTGAGTGCTCCCTGATCGTGGGCCACTTAGGATGCTGATTGGGCCAGGTGCCACTGAGACCTGGCGAGGTGGCAACACCCATGGGCCCTGTGAACACGGTGCGGGAGGCGTCCAGAGATTCCAGGGACAAAGCAGAGCCAGGGAGCGCAGGGCTGGCGGGGAGGGACTCCTGACCCATGTCGAATTTCCTCCTGGGCAGGGACAGGGCTGGAGCCAGACAGTGGTGATGGCCGCACAGTATTGCGAGTTAAATCATTTTTAAATGGCTACAGTGGCCGGCGCCGCGGCTCACTAGGCTAATCCTCTGCCTTGCGGTGCCGGCACACCAGGTTCTAGTCCCGGTCGGGGCGCCGGATTCTGTCCCGGTTGCCCCTCTTCCAGGCCAGCTCTCTGCTATGGCCAGGGAGTGCAGTGGAGGATGGCCCAAGTGCTTGGGCCCTGCACCCCATGGGAGACCAGGATAAGCACCTGGCTCCTGCCATTGGATCAGCACAATGCGCCAGCTGCAGCGCGCCGGCCGCAACGGCCATTGGAGGGTGAACCAA